AGTAAATTTGGTTTAATTGATACAATTTGATTAATTAATAATATTTTTGCATTTACAAAATCAAAAATCAATATAAAAGACCATTATGCACCCTTGTTGTTTTCACGTGCTCTTGATTCAGCGTTATGTGTATCTTTCTTTTACATTTTTTAATATTATCAAACATGTATGGTGGCTTTTACTTCTTGAATATGACGAAATTATTGCAACAGCCACGAATCAAACACAGCCAACCAATAACTACTTGTTACCGTTACGATTAATATAAAGATTGTTTAGCCAAAGCAAATTTCAGATACATGACCAAATATTGTAAATCTAAAAAATACCTAAGTTTATTAGTGATTTGTTAGAAATTTTCTATCTTGATTGCCTAAAATAAAAACATTTCACCTCAATGTTCTTGAGTACAATTCCTTTTTTTTTTTTTACCAAACCTAGTCAAATTCACTATTTCTACAAATCTTTTTATCTCACTAGTCCAACAGTTCGTGATAAGTGATAAAGTTGAGTATTCCCACTACCCCACATAGGTATGATGGTCATTCCACCATATACCGGAACATCAGGAATCCTCAAGGAAAAAATGGCTCTTGACAAGTAAACACGAATACACTTTCCTATCATTGGTCTAACCAATTCTCTACTTTTGTCAAAGATATTATGATATACATCCTTTCCTGGCATATCAACATCATCAATATTATATAAAGATGGTCCAGTTTCGCATCCATAGAATAAAGCATTATCATCATACATTGGTCGAAATGTTTTAGAAATTTGACGTAGGGTGAATATATCAGCTTGTTGTGTAAACTGAAAGAATGATTGTTGTGGTGAAACCAAATCCCAAAGAACATCAGTCGCATGAAATTGAACGATTGAATATCCATCTCTGTGTATTGATAGAACTATTTCTTTATCGAGTGTTAGATCTTTCGGTTTTGCCAAACTTAAAGTAATATCTAACCGCCAATCTTCATTAAACGGACTTTTGAAAAAGGCGCAGATAGGTAATGTTTGTTTCTTTAGAGCTGGAAGTTTGTAAAAGTGAATATCGGCCATAAGATTTTGACGAAACAATTCAAAGGACATTCCACATGGAAGATTTGTCGGGGATAGTGGAAAGATAGTGTAGCCTCTAAGATACCTTGCGATAATCGTGAAGATCTGAGGATCTCGATCTATGCACATGGTAAACGATGTTCCTTTTCTTGATTCATTTTCCCCAAAAAAATATTCAGTAAATAAATTTGGAGAATCCCTCTTAAGGCTTTCGGATTAATAATAATGGATCAGTTAGTAATATTTTTAGATAGATAATATGCGAAATAATCATCTTCAGTGTACCTGAATTCTGAGAATTGGAAGGCTGTGCCACCAACGTTCACCGTGTTATCCTTTTTTTCAAATTGTAGTTGATTAGCTGAAAAAGAACTCATTATTTTAAAAAAAAAACTTTATAAATATACGTACGGTGGATAACAAACGGAATTTGACACATGAAAATTTTTTGTAGTTGAAACATTCTGATCATAATAATGAAACATAAACATAATTCTGTTTATTTAGTCATTATCTGATCGCAATAATGAAACATAATTCTGTTTCTTTAGTCATTTCTATGAATATTAACAAGCTATAAGCTGGCTTGGTAGGAATTTAGATTTTTTTATTATTATATTCATTTATCATTGATATTTATGCTCAAAAATGTGTCAATTCAAGGATTAAATAATATTTAA